GTAGGCTCTTTTTTTTTTTTGACACAGAGTCTCGTTCTGTCACCAGGCTGGAGTGCAGTGGTGCAATCTCGGCTCACGGCAACCTTCACCTCCCAGGCTCAAGTGATTCTCCTGCCTCAGTCTCCCAAGTAACTGGAACTACAGGCGCACGCCACTACACCCAGCTAATTTTTGTATTTTTAGTAGAGACGGGGGTTTCACCATGTTGACCAGGATGGTCTCGATCTCTTGACCTTGTGATCCACCTGCCTTGGCCTCCCAAAGTGCTGGGATTACAGGTGTGAGCCACCGCGCCCGGCCAGCTCATCTACTCTTTATATTAGTTTCTACCATTAGCCAACCCATTCAAAGTTCTACACCACTAATTGACTTCACAACCACCTCACTCTGGAAATGTAAGCAGCTTGTGAATGGGGAGCTGCCACTGTTTGCATGTGGCCAGAAACACACTCACGACTCTTACTGTTGTGAGTGGGCAGAAGAGCAGTAGGTGGGGAAGAACAATTTTCTTTGTCTTTCCACTTAAACACAGCTTTCAGAGAGACGAGGCAGTTTGAAAACCAGTGGTCAGGAACTACACATGACTATGAAAATGCAAACTAAGGCATCCAAAGATTTACATTCAACTGTAGAAACATCAATATTGCTGAAAAGCTGCACCCATCGATTCAGTGTTCTGTGGCACATTTAGTTCCAAATCTGAGAACACTGAACCTGGGCAATTTATCTGCATATGCCTCAGGCTAACCACACAAATCTTACAGACAAAGCTAGAAGTTAAGATAGATAGCTTAGAATGCACTGTTGATGTGACCAAAAGGGCTTCATAAAAGAGTCAAATGCAGTAATGACATTACCAGAAATGTGGACGCAGAGAAGGAAAGTCTCTGTGGTGCCCCACTGTCTCTGAAAACTGAGGATGGCTTTCATGACAAAGAAGTAACCTTTTGTTAGCTGTACATGAGATCATACAAACCCGATAAAGAGGGCTTGTAAAATAAGTGCAAAGCTTGATGCCTGCATATAATTTTCCCTCCTGTGGTGTTATTTCATAAAGATTTGTCAACAGATCAATCCCTCAGTCACAAGAGTCAGGCTACACATCACCTTGGGGGAAAATTATTTAATTTCAGTTGGTGATGTAAATGCTACCTTTTTTTTAGACTGAGCGGCATGATCTTTCCTCACCACAACCTCCGCCTCCCAGGTTCAAGAGATTCTTCTGCCTCAGCCTCCAGAGTAGCCAGAACCACAGGTGCCTGCCACCACACCAGGCTAATTTTTGTATTTTTAGGAGAGATTTTTGTATTTTAGGAGATATTTTGTATTTAGGAGATATTTTTGTATTTTAGGAGTTTCACCATGTTGGCCAGGCTGGCCTCAAACTCCTGACCTCAGGTGATCCACTTGCCTCAGCCTGTAAATACTACTTCAAATTCCATCAATTGCCAAACTATCTTTACCATACATTCTTCTATGTAGTCAGTTCTCTTGAAATAGCTAATGGCCACTAAAACAAGAGTTTCATTCCACAGCTGTCCAAGTGAGTTACGCTATGCTCACATTGTATTTTGAAGAGCTGAGATAAATTTATCTCAGTCAATCCCAGATTATTCCTCCCTTGTTTCATTTGAAGATCACACAACAGGACAGTGGTTCGCACAGCAGTGTGTGTGTGTGTGTGTGTGGGTACACGTCTGTGAAACTGTACAATCTAATCACCACAGCTCTGCAAAGAACACAGCACAATTCTATTCAGGTTTCAGAAATGGAAAAAAAAATCTCAAGAAATCATTCTCAAAAGCTGTTTCCAGAATACCTTCTTGGGAAGTTTAAAAATTGGGTCCACTTTGTAATGCACGAGTATAAAGGAGGTAAATTCATAGCTTGCTAATGACCTTTTAATGCTAGAACCATAAATGGCTATTTCCAAAACATATTCACTGTATCGAATGCCTGATTTGATATTTAGTTATGTAAAAATTTTTTCCATCTCAACGAAGCCTTAAGGCAGCCTCCAAAAATTTATACAGAGGGGTTTTACCTTGTCCAGTGAAGGTTCTACTTCCAACCATCACAAGTACCAGAATTTTAAACTTTTACTATAAAAATCTCTATGGGATTATATAATCTTTCAACCATCTTCTTAACTTGAAACTTTTTTAACTAAACAAATATGACAAGACAGAATTAAAAGTGCATTGATCATAGAATGCAAACTGATAGTCAATGAAGTTCTAAGGAAAGTATAAATTAGTGAAATATTGTCATTCATTTAAAAAAGTACAATTAAAATCAAATCAAATGAACTACTGATACTTTGACACCTACTACAAACACAGCAGATTGTAGCAGGTATAGAAAGGAAAAAGACATGGGACACAGTTACTGGCAACAGGGAACTTAGTATGTTGGAGGAACATGACACCGAACTCTATACAAACATTGGATCACATACATCACAGAATGCAGGTTTAGACTTAAAAGGAAGTTGGATAGGTCAGGTGGAGCCATTTTCTGTCAGATAAACCTATTAGACACATTTTAAAAATGTAACATGATATGTCCACACCTCCTATCTTAAAAGAATACCAATCAACAATCCTCTCAAAGTAAATTACATGCAACTAAGAAACTTTAACCTTTATCTTTCCAACATCCCTCATCACACAGTATTTATTTTTGATAAGTCTAAGTCTCCCACTATACAACAAAATATCAAACATCGCGGGATGTCCTATTTAACTTTGATTCCTGAGCTCTTGGAACCTACAGAACGCATAATGATCCAATGTATTCTTGGTGAATACATAGTTGAATGAATGAATGAATGAATGAATGAATGAACAGTGTTATAATAGCAGCTGTTAATTTGGATTTATTTGAATATAAAGATTGATTCTTCACAGCAAAACACAGTTCAGGAGGCTTCTACAAAGTTATGTTTCTTCCTTTCTTTCTTTCTTCCTTTTTTTTTTTTTTTTTAAGACTTGGGGGTCCTGCTCTGTCACCCAGGCTGAAGTACAATGATGCAACCAGAGCTCCCTGCAGCTTCAAACCCCTGGGCTAAAGAGATCCTCTCCAAAGTTATATTTCATAAAACAAATGGCCAAAATTAATGATAAAATTAATTTAAAAAGTTGTTAATTGAAGCATTATTCACAAAAGGAAAAATGGCAACAATCTAAATTTTCAGCACCTGGGCGGCACGCAGTTTTATTACGGTCATACACTGATAGATTATGGAACTATTAAAAATGACAGGCTGCGCACGGTGGCTCACTCCTGTAATCCCAGCATTATGGGAGGCCAAGGCGGGCAGATCACTTGAGGTCAGGAGATCGAGACCATTCTGGCTAACACGGTGAAACCCCGTATCTACTAAAAATACAAAAAATTAGCTGGGCATGGTGGTGGGCGCCTGTTGTCCCAGCTACTTGGGAAGTTGAGGCAAGAGAAGGGTGTGAACCGGGGAGGCGGAGGTTGCAGTGAGGAGAGATCGTCCCACTGCACTCCAGCCTGGGCAACTGAACAAGACTTTGTCTCAATAAATAAATAAGTAAATAAATAAGACAAATATGAAGGCCTGAAACAGAGAGAAATTAAGATATAACAGGAATAAAAAATGAGTAGACCAAAGTAGTATGTATGCTATAGCTACAAACGGATAAAAATATGTACACATGTAAAAAGACTAGAATGAAATACATACAAAATATATTTGTTAAAGTATATAGGTTTATGGCTTACAGGTGATTTTTTTTCCACTCTAAACTTTTTGTAGAACTGCTACATTGTGGATGGGTGTGGTGGCTCACACCTGTAATCCCAGCACTTTCAGAGGCCAAGGCAGGCGGATCACTAGGTTAAAAGATCAAGACCATCCTGGCCAACATGGTGAAACCCCATCTCTACTAAAAATACAAAAATTAGCTGAGCATGGTGGCCCACACCTATAGTCCCAGCTACTCAGGGGCTAAGGCAGGAGAATCACTTGAACCCAGGAAGTGGAGGTTGCAGTGAGCTGAGATCACGCCACTGCACTCCAGCCTGGAGACAGACTCCGTCTCAAAAAAAAAAAAAAGAACAACAACAACTGTTACATTGCCATTTACAGGTCCTGTTGTAAAGGTAGAAGTTTCACAGTAAGTTTCTAACAGTAATTATTACAGTGATCATTAACAGGAACTTATTTCACCAAATCTAACTGCTACTGACTAGAAGATACACCAGTATTTTACGTACTATTAATAAAAATAAAAGTTATGTTACATTCATAGGCCTTAAAAATAATAATAAAAATAAAAATGCTGCCAATCATAGCTGTAAAATGTCAGTGATTGCAAGATATATCAAATTTCAAAGATATTAAAATGTGAAAAGATATGTGTCTTAGAATCAATAAAAATACGTATTATAAAGTTGTAATATAAAAATATTTTATTTGTAAAAAAGTGATCATTTGTAGTGACTAGATAACAAACTAATAAATCTATGAAAACTTTGATAGAAATCTCTTAAAGAAACAGGCTGGGCATGGTGGCTCACGCCTGTAATCCCAGCCCTTTGGGAGGCCGAGATGGGCGGATCACCTGAGGTTGGGAGTTCAAGACCAGCCTGACCAACATAGAGAAACCCTGTCTCTACTGAAAATACAAAATTAACCGGGCTTGGTGGCGCATGCCTGTAATCCCAGCTGCTCAGGAGGCTGAGGCAGGAGACTCACTCGAACCCAGGAGGCGGAGGTTGCAGTGAGCATTTCAGCCTGGGCAATAAGAGTGAAATTCAGTCTCAAAAAAAAAAAGAAAAGAAAGAAAGAAAGAAAGAAAAAAGGAAATAAATGGCTTGATTCACAAATAGAAGTTTTATGTAAGAATTCTGAAAATAAAATACACAAGACATTGCACCACAGAGGACAAGTGTTCATCATGCCTCTGAGATAAAATGTTTCTGGTCCAAAAGAATTGAGTAAATGAATTATCAAAAAGAAATAGAAATGCTTGCTTTGACAGCACATATACTAAAATCAGAATAATACAGAGAAGATTAGCATGGTCCCTGCACAAGGATAAAACGCGAATTTGTGAAGCATTCCATATTTTTAATCAGTACATACACATATATCAAAGCATTATGTTGTACTCCTTGAATATATATAATCTTTGTTAATTTTTTTTTAAAAAAGAAAACATAACTAGAAAATTCTTGACTTCTGAGGAGCAGGGAAGAAATGAAGGGAGAAATTAAAGTAAGCCAAGAAGCCTGAACAAGATTCTCAGCTTCAGTATAAAGTAAGTCATTAAATGATTTGTTTGAGTGGCATTTCCTTGAAAATAAGACTGAAGCTGACAGCCAGGCACAGTGGCTCACGCCTGCAATCCCAGCACTTTGGGAGGCTGAGGTGGGTGGATCACAAAGTCAGGAGACTGAGACCATCCTGGCTAACATAGCGAAACCCCATCACCACTAAAAAATACAAAAAAATTGGTCAGTCGTGGTGGTGCACACCTGTAGTCCCAGCTAATTGGGAGGCTGAGTCAGGAGAATGGCATGAACCCGGGAGGTGGAGCTTGCAGTGAGCCAAAATTGCGCCACTGCACTCCAGCCTAGGCGACAGAGGGAGACTCCATCTCAAAATAAATAAATAAATAAAAGACTGAAACTGCCTATGGCACATAATCACAGAGGTCACTCACTGAATTACAATAACATCAATTTTTTTACATGCTCTGTCTCAAAAAAAAAAAAAAGACTAAAACTGCCTATGGCACATAATCACAGAGAAGGTCACTCACTGAATTACAGTAACATCAAATACGGTGTAGAGAGGTAATGAGTCTACATGTTCAGTGGAATATCATGATTCAGAAAATCAGAATTAAAATTTGTAATTTTCAGACCACCGGTCCTCTAAGCTTTTCTCCCTAAGTTCACTCTTTGGCTTTTCATTTAATATAATTATGACAATTAATTAATGTCACCTAAACTTTTAGCAGTTCAGCATGAAGAAAACATAAGAAACTTTCCAGTTGGTTATCAAATCATGGGACACTACCTTAACTATCCATGAGAGTGTAACCACAATAATGCAACAAATAATAAGAACAAACTACAATAAGTAGTAAGACAAAGGCATTATCCAAGGAACAAAAAATGGCAGAGACATTCAAGTTCATTATTTTAAAGTGCTGATTATTTAAACCCTTCATGCATCTACATATGTAAGGTAAAGGTGCCTTTTTCATTGCCAAACTACAAAAACAAGAAAACCGAAGTCTAATACTGAAATAATCTATGATGATTTGTATAATAATAATTTATAAATGAAAGTCATAAAAGCCAACCTCCCAGAAAAATCAACAAAACCAAGAGGCGGTTCTTTGAAAAGACTGATAAAATTGACACTCCTGTAGGTAGACTGAGAAAAAGAAGACTAACTAAAATTAGAAGTGAAAAAGGGGACATTACTACTGTTTCTACAGCAATCAAAAGGATTATAGGAGTATAATTACCAACAAATTAGATAACCTATATGAAAAGAACAAATTCCTAAACACAAAACCTACCAAAACTGAATCATGAAAAAATAAAAAACCTGAACAGATCTATAACTAGTAGAGACATTGATTAGTAATCAAAAACCTCCCAACAAAGAAAAGTCAAAGAGAGACGGCTTCACGGCTGAATTCTATCAAACATTTAAAGAAGAATTAACATCAATCTTTCTCAACAACTCCAAAAAACTGAAGAAGGAACACTTTCAAACTCCTATCAGACCAGCATTACCCTGATACCAAAGAAAAACAATTACACTATTAAGAAAAAGAAAACTGCGGGGCCGGGCGCGGTGGCTCAAGCCTGTAATCCCAGCACTTTGGGAGGCCGAGATGGGCGGATCACAAGGTCAGGAGATCGAGACCATCCTGGCTAACACGGTGAAACCCCATCTCTACTAAAAAATACAAAAAACTAGCCGGGTGAGTTGGCGGGCGCCTGTAGTCCCAGCTACTCGGGAGGCTGAGGCGGGAGAATGGCGTAAACCCGGGAGGCGGAGCTTGCAGTGAGCTGAGATCCGGCCACTGCACTCCAGCCTGGGCGACAGAGCGAGACTCCGTCTCAAAAAAAAAAAAAAAAAAAAAAAAGAAAAAGAAAACTGCAAACCATTATTTCTCATGAAAATTGTGCAAAAATCCCTAGCAAAAGAATACTAAACCAAATTCAACAGTTTATTGAAAGGATTATCCACCATTATCAAGTGGGACTTATACCTGGAATGCAAGGATAGTTCAACATATGAAAATTGATCAATGAAATGCACCACATTAACAGAACAAAGAGGAAAAAACACATCATCATCATCATCTCATTTGATACAGAAAGAGCATTTGACAAAATTCAGCAATCTTTCATGATAAAAAAGACTCAACAAATTAGGAATAGAAGGAAACTATCTCAGCATAATAAAGGTCATATATGAAAAACCCACAGCTAATAGCATACTCAATGGTTAATGACTGAAAGCTTTTCCTGTAAGATCAAAAGGAAGAAAAGAATGTTCACTTTCACCACTTCTTATCAACATAGTAGTAGAAGTCCTAGCCAGAACAATTTGGCAAGAAAAAAAATTCACCTAAATTGGAAAGCAAAAAGTAAAATTATCTTTGTTTGCAGATGACATAATCTCACAGGTAGAAACCCTTAAAAATTCCACATGAAAAAAAAAACCTGTTAGAATAACATAAAAATCAAATAAATGGAAAAGGCTGGGCATGGTGGCATGTATCTATAGTCTTAGCTACTCAGGAGGCTGAGGTAGGAGGATTGCTTGAGCCCAGGAGTTCAAAGCTATAGAGAATTGTGATCACACCACTGCACTCCAGTCTGGGAGACAGACTGAGGCCCTTCCTCTAAAAAATAAATAAATAAATATTGATGAAATAAAAAATGAATGGAAAGACATCCTGTGTTCATAGATTAGAACACTTAATATTGTTAAGTCATCTATACTACTTAAAGCAATGCAATTCCTATTAAAACACCAATGATGTTTTCTGTAGAAACAGAAAAATCAGCATTTATTCTCTTTTGAAATATACCTTAAAACTTATCAACAATCACCTCTATTTAATCTATAAAGTATATTCAACATCACAAATCAGAAGCTATTAAATCCATTCAGATACAGAGGATTCAATTTTTTTTTTCTTTTCTTTTGAGATGGAGTCTTGCTGTCTCACCCAGACTGGAGTACAGTGGCACAATCTTGGCTCACTGCAACCTCCACCTCCCAGGTTCAAGTGATCCTTCCAACTCAGCCTCCCGCATTCCTAGGATTACAAGCATGCACTGCCATGCCTGGCTAATTTTTTTTTTTTTTTTTTTGTATTTTTTAGTAGAGATGGGGTTTCACCATGATGGTCAGGCTGGTCTCAAACTCCTGACCTCAAGTGATCTGCCTGCCTCAGCCTCCCAAAGTGCTGGGATTACATGTGTGAGCCACTGTGCCCAGCCAGAACCCAATATTTTAAACAAAGTGGTACCATCACTAATACTCAGGCCTACAGTGGGACATTTTACATAAGACAATCACAGGGGAGACTTGTTGAGCTTATAATCATCAGAGAGCAGTATAATAACAAATAACGGGGGGATAGCCTTTTCCAGCAATAGATGCGTGGACCTCCACAAAATAGCTGCAGTCACAAACCAAGGCAATGTTAAGAATGGTAACCATCATCATCAGATACAGACAAGTTGAATCTATTCAAAACTTGTATGAGGTACTTTTAGGAGTTATTATAGATTCATAGAATTCGTGATTGACAAGGACCTTAAAAATCCTGTTACATGTGAAACCACTTAATGGATAAGAAAATGAGGACTGCAGAAGAGGTACCTGATGTCTCCAAGGTCACATAAGGAGGTGGCACAACCATGACTGTAATTCAGGTTTCCTGCATTCCTCTATCTTCTCTAATCAAACTTCTGAGCTAAAGGTCAGGAGTACTACCTTAGTCTGTTGATGAAAAGGTCACTACAAAGTGGTTTCTCAAAGACTCTTGACCACATCAGTATACAAACACTATGGTTAATCAACTAACCCCTGCCCTAGCAAAGGAACCTCCCAGGATTATATGGGGAGCTTTCGTACTGATACTAGACTTTTTGACAGCTGTGGCTATTGCCATCCCAGCCCTGTGGAAAGGGGCTAGAATCCGCACTGTGAGAGGTGTACTTTCCATTGTCAATTATCCTGGGAAGAAGCAGATCCTGAGATAAGAAATGGAAACTAGCAAGGAAAGACGTGGGAGAAGGAAGGAGGAAATCCTCCCTCTTTCAGGGTCTCATTCTCTTTGATGCCTAGATTCTACATCTAGCTGTGCTGACAGTCACTTCTGAAGGCAGGGACTGGATGGTCTAAACCAGAGAGGCAGTCCAGTAGAGAGCCCAGTGAGGAATAGGTCTATGACTGCCATAACTAGCAGTTTGTGTTTTTTTTTAAAGTCATAAACTCAACTTCTATCTTCTCTAGGGAATTAAGGACATGTTTCCAGATGAGGGATGGAATGGAAAATGGGAAAGCAGAGTCCCCAAAGAGCTATCACAATGCTGGCAGCAATGCTTAGCAGGGTGAGCAATGAAAATGGGAATCTTTGAGATAGGAATCAAGGCATGATGTCCAGGCTCACCTCATCACATGAAAATGGTTTCTCTTCCTGATCACCTCAGAGAAAGGGGCATTAATTTTTTTTCTAGGTAACAAAGCTGGGAGAAGGGGCATTAATTTAACTAAGAGATCCAATGGGTTTCCTTGCAAACCATCGCAGGTTAAACACAGATTTCTGGACACCGACAACCGAGGGTGATTGTCAGGATGGGTGTCAGGATGACCATCCAGAACGTGTACAGTCAGCATCCTTCTGATTGGCCAGAAACTGCCTACTAACTACAGGCTAAATATCCCTTACCCAAAATGCTTGGGAACAGAAGGGTTTTGAACTTCAGATTTTGGGGATTTTGGAATATTTGCATTATATACTTACCAGCTAAGCATCCCTAATCTGAAAATCTGAAATCCAAAATGCTCCAGTGAACATTTTCTT